CAGAAGAGTCTCTGCTCGCTTTCTTGCAGGTCGTCTTGCAAAGGGTTCCTATTGCTGTTGCCCAACTGGTTAGTTTCAGGATAAATCCTGGAAAAGAAGCACAACCATCAGTGGTTAGCCAGGTGCTCCTCTAGAGTTCACCTAGAAGGCCTGGTTTTTCTAAGCAGACCTCCCAATCCTTTCAAGGGATGTTTCTGAAGCCAATTTTAAGACAAAGCAGCCTGCATTATGTTATTTCCTGACATAGATTTATGGGCATCCAAAACCCCAGGAAGTCAAGTGTCTATGGAGATTCTCAAGCATCCAGGTTGTGGCTGTCCCAAAGGTGCTTTTCCAAAAGGTAATTGGGCTTCCTTGGTTCTTTTCTTTTTCTTTGAAAACGTTTCGCTTCTCATCCAAGAAGTTTCTTCAGTTCCGGAACTGAAGAAGCTTCTTGGATGAGAAGCGAAATGTTTTCAAAGGAAAAAACAGTTGACTTTTGCAAAAGCATCTTTGGGCCAGGAAGGTAAGTTCATTCCAGAATTATGAAGGCAGGGTGTTGGAAAGACATAGATGGATACAGTCCAACAGCCACCCAGTCAACAGCAGTTTAGGTAACAATCAATCTGTTATACAGGCAGATCTCGATTTATGACCATTCGGTTAGCTGACCCTTTGAAGTTGCAATGAAAAAATAATGACTTATTAACCGATAAACCTCACACTTACAACCATTGCAGCATCCCACACAGCCACAAGATTGTGACCCAGGCACTTGTGGTCACATTACCGTCAAATGTTTGTGAATTTGCCAGCTGGTTTCTGACAAAACAAAGTCAGTGGGAAGCCGGTAGGAAAAGTCACAAACTGCAATCACGCGATGACAACCACAGCAAAAATAATAAGTAATAAAATTGGATGCCTCATTTAACAACTGCACCCCTTAACAATGAATTATCCAGTCCCTATTGGGATCATAAGTTGAGGACTACTTGGGTATGTATTTGTTTTGTTTTAAGTCACTGCCATGACTGAACATGTAGCAATTGTAAACAATATCCTTTTAACTAAACACCCATTAAAAATACACAGAAATGTATTTCTATCTCATCCCACCTGAACATTTAGGAGTGGTTTATACACAGAATATGTGCATATGTGTGTATTATCTATTCCTTCTGGCAGGAGGAAACATTCATTATGAAGCACGCCTGAGTTTACAAAATGGTCTTGTTGCAATGAAATAGAGAAGATTGTCCTCATTTAGCAACCATAACCAGGACTGTCAACTCAGCAGAGAAGTATTGAACTGTGTTTATGATCTTATTTTGGCTTTCCTTTTCTTTACAGACCTGTGAAGGCTGTAAATGCAGGGACTGGTTGCAAGGTATTTCTTTTTTACTATCATAACTGCGGAAAGGTTGCTAGATGAGGCAGTCGCTAAATGAGAACCCCCTGTAACAATACTTTAGAGCAAGGGTTGGTTATTCATGGTATCCCACTTGCTACTTTGCAGCTCCCACCTCCCCTGAAAAAAATTTGGCAGCAAAGTCATCTCTTGTTTTATATTTGTTCTGTGGCAAAAATATGCTAAACAGCTGTGGCAATTCTCCTAAATGATAACATTAAATTAAATAATGAAAAGAACTCCCAATTTTTGTTTGGTTATGTATTTGTTTCACCTTTAAGTTTTTTTTTTTTTTTTAAAGAAGATCACCCTGGAACAGGTCAGTTTTAAAAGCCTTTAAAAACCTTTAAAATGAAGCAAACGACACTAGATCACAAGTTCACTTCACGTTAAGTCTGCTCAGCTATAAGCAAGGGTATCATCAGCAATCCTCTAGTTCAAACCACCCACCCACTGGTCACAAGTGCTTGGATCCTCTTACTTCAAGGTATTTAAGCATCAAGTCATTGCTACAGATGTTAAGACAGAGAAAGGCTTTGTTTCTAAGAGAGGGAAGAATTTAAGACAACAGAAGCAGAAAAGAGAGGGGGAGAGGGAGCAGGAACAGACACAAAACGGGGATTAGGGAAACAAACAAACAGTAACCTCAGGATTGGGAGGGAAAAAGCAATTGGCAGCATTGGAGGGAAACTTTAAGCTACTTGCTGTTGGCAGAAGTGCCATGAAAGCCAAGGAGAAAACACAAGGGGAAAAAACAGTAATTAGAAACAAGGCATGAGGGTTATGGGTGGCTCAAAGTGGTGTCTTTGGAGAAGTCAGCTGGAGAACACAAAATGCATTTTGTTTCAGGTGCATAAACTTGCATTTTGCAGCTTGGTGTCCTCCAGCTATTGAGCCACAACTCTCATCCTCACCAAACTCAAGTAAACAGGCTGAAGGAGGCTCCCCTACCTAACCTTTATGTGCATTTTCAGAAACCAGATTGGAAAAGGAACAGACAAACAGAATACACAAGGGAGGCCCGAATGTGACGGTGCCTTTGTCTTTATTTGTTTATTTGTTGAATTTGAATAGCTAGCTGCCCATCTCACAAAAAGCGACTCTGTGTACAACAATCAAATATTTTTATACTTTCATTTATTTATTTGACAGGACTTAGAACTCTCCCCAATCCCACAGGATTATGCCATATAACACAGGATTATGGCATGTAACATCAAACAAAAGGAAAACAAAAGAACATAGGGTAAACAGTGAAATCCAGAGCAGTACAACATCCTCCCCCCTCAACCCTGAAGAAAGGTAAAACCCCAAATAGGAGATCCAAAGCAGTCATCTGGCACCAAAAGGGTAATGAAATAAAGCCGTTTCAATCTGTGTATGGAACGGTAGAAAGGTGTGGGCTGCACACATTTCTAGGAGGAAGTTATTCCATACTTCGGGAATTATGACAGGAAACGTCTGCTGTTTTACCCATCTCCTGCAAACTTCAGGAAGAGAGAGAACTTTCAGCAGGTCCTCTCTTTGCGACTGGACTGGATGGGCATATTTTGTCCTGGCAAGGAGTTGTCAGATGCATCCTGGTATTATGACAAGTTGAGCTTTAAAAGTAATTACCAGCTCTTTGAATTGGGCCTGGATTGTACTACCATCGAGCATACATGACACGTAGGTATCTATGTACTCTCTATTAGTACATTTTACTAACATAAAGTAAAGGGCAGTCTTCATGAAATCAGGCCCTGGAATGGGACAATTACATTATATACAGTCTTATGTTTATGCTACTTTATCTCCATGCTGGGTCACTGTTGGCTTCATCTGGTGTGAGATGCAGCACCCAATTATTCCTATACAGATGTGGTCTTTGATCCTCTCTCACCCAAAGTCCCCCATTCCCATCTATGGTTTTGGAACCATAGTTTGCCACAATTTATAAAGCAAACTTTTCAGCAACACGGAGCATACTGTAGGTGTCGCTGTCCAACACGTAGGTCTTTCTACGTTCCCGAAAGCTGCAGAGATAAATCCACGGCTCACCTGCTCTGCAGTGGGTGTTTCCCATACACATTCCCGTAACAGCTGGCAAAAGAGGACTGAGATAGCGTATCATAATCAGGAAGTCCCAACAAAACCTGATTCCGCCAGTTCACAGAGGAATTTGTTGAGGATGCTAAAATTGAAGAGATAAGAAGAAAAGAATGTCAGCAATGAATCTTTCCTTGATTTGGGTAAGAACTGTTTAGATAAAAAATTTGGCTGGGTTCAAAGAAACACTGTATGAAACATCCCAGATGAAAGGAAAATGCCAATTTGATTAGGAGAACACTCCTTTTAATCCAGACACTTCCACCCTAATCTAACACATGGGACTTGGATACCGATACATTTACAGGAACTTCGTTAGGAAAGATTAAAGTATTTATACATTTTATTCCAGCTTTGCTGATATAAGATGAACTTTTAGTAAATTAATGCTGAGCTCACTGGCTTTCTGCAAAAGAAAGATCTAAGATGAAAAGTTGAAATTAAAAATGATCATGTTCCTAGTGTTGTACTGATTAGAATGTTGGATTTGGACTGAAAAGACTGCTTTAAATCCTCATTTAGCATTAAATGCGCTAAATGTGCTCTGGGGCCATCGCTCTATATCTAACATTTGGAACTTAATCACTTGCAATGGTGCAGACACATTTGCTAGACTTACAACCTGTCCTTCCTATAGGAGCTCATTATATTCCCATTCTCAATGTTATCCTCTTCTACCATGCGGGTTGGTTTGGGAGACAGATTGAATGTGAATTTTTACCTGACTTTTCTTAATTCTAATGCAACACATTATATACCAGTGATGGCTAGCCTTTTTGCCGTTGCATGCTGAAAGCATTCACACGTGCACCCATAATGCAATGCGCGTGACCCCCTTATGTTCCCCACCCTTCGAGCATGCATGTGTGACTCCACTGCTTGCACCCCACCCCCTGTAACCCCCCTTGCTCCCCCCCAAGCATGCACGCATGCCCCTCTGCACTCCTCCCACACCCTCTACATACCCTCCCCCACCCTACGTGCATGTGTGGCGTGGCAGAGACCCGAAAACCTGCTGGCCAACAGGAGGCGCGCATGCATTTGTGGTGGAGCTGAGCTGGGATAACAGCTCACGTGCCCACAGAGAGGGCTCTGCATGCCACCTGTGGCATGTATGCTATAGGTTTGCCATCATTGTTATATACCATCTAGCCTCTACCACATTTTAAGATTTTCTGAAGTTTGTGCTGTATTATTATTATTATTACTATTTACTTTCAAAAGTCCAGAATGGTGTGATAAACACCTGTACAGACCCCATTATTTGGGATAATGTTTT